AACAAACAAAATGCATGGAATACATAAGAGTGGAACTAACTGATCTTCTAATTTGGTATCTGTGACCATTTATGCTGATTTCACGGTCGCAAACATTCGTTTTTACCGGCTCCGCTTACGTGTCGCCAGTAAAATTCGGTTTGCGACCGTTAAATCAGCATTAACGGTCGAAAATACCAAATTAGAAGATAGTTATTCCCTAATTCTCCCACTTCCCGAGATTCCTTTTTTGATATATAATCATCGAAATAAAATATTCTACAGATTGAATGTGCTGCTCAATGTTTGTTAACAAAGGAATGCAAAGTGATATCGTATGAACGAAAACTTGACCATGGAGAAAAGGGTGTGTTCCTTACTTAGCGCCCCAACTACCACAGACCCTTATATACTGGCGGATATCAGCGATGTAAAATCCATCTTCTTCAACAATATCAACATTTGTATCCCAAGTTTTACACAAAAGGTACTAAAAGGTTCAAGTCATTTACTAGTAGCCAGTTACTAGTAGCTAACTTTACTTACTTATCGTAGCTAGCTACTAGTAGCCAGTTACTAGTAGCCAAATTTACTTACTTATCGTAGCCAGTTACTAGTAGCTAACTTTACTTACTTCTCGTAGCCAGCTACTAGTTGTTAACTTTACCCACTTGTCGAAGCCAGCTACTAGTAGCCAGTTACCAGTAGCTAACTTTACATATCTAGCGAAGATGCCCAGGGTTGACCTTAACTTCAAAACAAACATCAGTGGCAGACAAAGGTATTCATTAATCTTCATGTGACAGATAAAGATAAGCCTCTAAATTTTCTGCAGCAGGCTAGATAATTAATCCCAAGGGATTAATTCTACTGCTCTCTCAACCTTTTCTTCTGAATTTACAATAAGAACTTTTTTTAGCTCTGAGAGAATGGGGTTATTATCTGATTACCTGTTAAAATTAACAGCATTAAGGCAGCCAAACAAAAAAAAATAATTAAAGAAATAAATTAACTTTAAATCAACTTTATACACAACCATTTCCCACGATAAATTAAAGGTACTTGGACACAGATTTGAAGTTAATATTTTCTGTATAATATTACGACTGATATATCTTAATAGCATTTCACACAAAAATTAATTAAAAATCTTATTTTATTTAAAAATTATTAAAACTTCAAATTTTTGGCGGGTTAGATTGACACATCCTTGCACTTTCACAAATTTTAATTTTATTCTTAATATTTAGGAAAAGTGGCAATCTTGTTGTGTATAAATGAAAAATATTAATATTATAATTCAGAAAATTCAGAGTAGACATGTTCGAAAGCAAAACAAACACACAATATATTGTCAGTCCGTGCAGTTGTGGTGAGCAGACTTTGACGATTGAACGCAGCCTGTGAATCGTAAACATCAAAAATAAGAGATCGTGTCCTGTTTACAAAACAATGTGTACATAACACGAGTGTGATCGATTTGCTAAACTCTGTACACAACACTTAGCTCGGAATGACGATGCTTTTGCAGGAGTTTTGCTTTCTAACACCTCTACTCTGAATGAAATTATTTTTCTTGATTAAAGTTTTAATATTTCTCATTAATACAACAAGATTGCAACTTTTCCTAAGGATTAAGAATAAAGTTAAAATTTGTGAAAGTGCAAGGATATGTCAATCAAAGTTTTGATAACTTTAAAATGAAATAAGATTTTTAATTAATTTTTGTGTGAAATGCTATTAAATTATATAATTCGTGATATTATAGAGAAAATATTAACTTCAAATCTGTGTCCAAGTACCTTTAAAATCCAGGCTTTTTGATATCATTGACAACTGCGTCTTCAATAAAAATGGAACTCGTAAATTTACTTACCTGGTCATTGTCATTTGCAAAATTATTTTGTTAAAAAAGATTCTGATTGCACACACAAGTACTCTAAACTTGACCCAAGAAGATGGTCGAACTGATTGATCAATATCTATGTGGTTTTTGGAGACTAGGTCACCAACGCATAAAAAATTATAACTTGGACCGATGGAACACAAATTTGGTCCGTTATTAGCAGACTATTTTTGAGGTTAAAATCGATGCAGAATTTATGCAAAATCTGATGCTGTCAAAAGAAGAAAACACATTTTTGCTTCAAAACCCGTCGGCCGTTGGCCGTTTTTGGAAATGTGACTGGGGTTTTAGTCAATAGTTATATCAGAAATATGATTCAAACACCTTTATTTATCACTGATTGTGAATGGTAGTGATTAGCTTGTTAAATTAGTCTCAAAGGAATTTAAGTAATGTAATTACTAGTATCAGGATTTTTATTGCTATACAATGTAGCTCAAGCTCCACAACTTAGTACCACATTTTTTTTATTGATATCCAAAAAATTATGCTGTGAAAATTCTCCTCAGAATAGTTTTATTCTAAATCATAATTTCATAAATTTCAATAATATGAATTTATATTCAACTCATAGTACTAAAGTCACAAAATGATTCAATGACAAAGTCACAAATACAACTTATGATATACCAAATGCTGACTGACGTTTTCATACCTATTGTTAGTCCATTATTTATACATTTGAATTGACGAATTTTCCGTTATTTCACGATCATGACAATGAGCAAATTCAATATTGAGATCGATATTCAATGACGGAAAATGTTTTTCTGAAAAGTCACTTCATTAAACTACATTTATATTATTCACATATACATAATTTATATGTTACATTAAATAGTTTCATTGGTATAACTTCATTAAATAGTAATAAAAAAAATCTTAATGATATCTTAATATATATCTTGATTTTAGAATTCAATAAAATTATATAATATATTGTGTCACAGTATTTGTATCTAAAGTACATTATTTTAAATTCATATTACAGAGAATGTACACATCATTCAAAATTGACCTTTACTTCAAAACAAAGTTCATTTGCAGACAGAGGCGGTACAGTTATTAATCTCAATGTGACAGATAAAGATAATGTGTTTTTCATGTGGAACAACTTGTGGTACAAATTGCACAGTACTTCCAGTAAAAATCCAGTATCATTCTCAGCAGTTATCTTTCTTTCCCATTCATTCTTATGCATAGTTATAAAAACCACCCCAAATCTTCAAAATTATTGTGAAAAAAAAAACTTTGCATACCTTCATAAATATGGCGACTGACTGTAAACAGCTGGAGAAACTCAATTCTGGACTATCATCACCACTCAGACACCATTAACTTCGATTATCCAAAATTCAGTCACTCCCCTCCTATCGATTGTCAACCTTAAAATGGTCTCCATATAAACATCTTCGATCTGTAGAAAAATGGCCATGGAATATCAAAATATATAACAGCCTTTGCACCCTTTAAACTTCAGATTATATTGAACGAGCTAGCTTTTATTGACGTGCTTTACATTTAAAAGAAGGGCGCAATGGTTGAATTAACACAGCAAATAAATCTGCACAATATAAGCCATAGTAAATGAGACTTTAAAACTGAAAAGAATATAAATTATATATATAAATTTACAGTGGTTGGAATTGTAATGAAAAATTGAAAACACGAAGAAATTAACTTAGCAAAGCGTTAGCGATGTCATTCATTGATTTTCTGCTGTAATAGTTGTGTTGGGGATTGTGACTTACCTACCACCCCCTTCGTTTACAGGCGTATATTTTTAATTCATCTCCTCATCATCCTAAATTTCACAGCCTTTCGGATTATTTCCATGTTGGGAAGGCTTATTATGTCTATAGATCTCTGTTAACTCTTCTAGATGGCGATTTGATGTACTCCGTTTGACAATGAATACATTAATTTTACTCACTATAGATCCGCAAGAATATAATTTATACATCCTAAAGATCAAGTGGACTGTTGCATTTTTTAAAGAGCCTTATTGGGTCATTATGATGACACTTTAAATTTAAAAGGTACTTGAATGCGGAAGTAAATAATAAACACTTAAAGTCAGATTAACTCATAGATTCTCGCTGGTTTTTCTAAGATTTTCTTTAAAATTCATGAGTTATTTTTTTTTTGTTTCTTTGTTTGACGTTCTTTCAAGAATGTTTCACTCATTTTAATTTGAGACGCCACCATGCTTCGAATATAAACACGAACTAGCTGGGCACGTACAGCTTTCGAGCAGTGAGGGACCTTTTTTCGTGCCAGCATACTACGACACGAGATCTCGGTCACAAGCGAAGGATTAGCCTACACATCTCGCAGTAGGATTAGAACCTATTATGTATGGATCAATTCCTTATTGTAGATTCGATCCTATTTTACGCGACTACTTAATATCGCGAAATGGCTTTTTGCTGCTAAATCGCGAGTACAATAAACCGCAAGTGGCCGGTTGAACAAGATATTTACATGGATTTCAGTTCCATAAAATTAAAACCATGTGAATTTTTTTCGCGGGTGTTGCTCCTAGCGAAATTACGCGATAATTAATTCCTCGCTTATATTTAGGAATGAATTCTAGGCTTGAGAGCAAACGAGCATAAGCATACTGAGCCACGCAATCGACAGTAATAAAATGTATCTCTTCGGTTTCTGCTCCATCGTATTCTTTAATGTAATGATTGATTGATTGTATCCCTCTCGAGAATTTTTCACTCATATGGAGACGTCACCGTATGCCGGTGAAGGGCTTCAAATTTTGACCTTTACTCGGCACTCAGGGCCATTGAGCAGTAAGGGATCTTTATCGTGCAAACGCCTGCCGCTGACAAGGGGCCTCGGTTTTTAAGGTCTCATCCGAAGGACCCACAACTTTCACTTCAAAGTGCCGAGCGCATGGCGAAGGAACAGTTGCTTTCCATTTTTTTATCGACTTAGATCAGTCGATTTTTGAATGGATAATCTTTCAATATCATATTTTATCACTCTGGTAAATAACATCAACAACAACCTTTTGCTCTTGCAGTGCAATTCTAGATAACCTTGCTGATAAGGGACTATAAAGCTCTACGTAAAACAGAACACTTTGAGATTATCGACGATGGTGTTTCCACATGTGTACTTATTCATAGTTTTAACTATAACTAGGACTTCCATAGGTGTTTCAGAAGGTAAAATATTTTAATATGCCTTATATAATATATTATAATAGATACATAGTCATGGGCTATAAAACACTAATCATAATCAAATATACCAGTATGTTCTCCTAGTTTTCTTTTTAATTGTTCGACATATTTTAGGCTGGTTTTTACATGTGACGGACTTTCACTGGGACAACACGTACACAAGTAGGGATCTTTCCTGTAATGGCGTGGTAAATACCCACGGTGTTTATGGGGACTACTGGTGCGACTCCCCGTTTTCACTTATTGACGTCACAATAAAGGCCATGAAGAATGCTACAATAGATAAGACAGTTGATTTTATGCTTTGGACTGGGTAACTTTCTTAACTTCATCGTGAAGAATTTTTTTTCAAATTATTCATAAACTTCTACATTATAAAGTTTCCTTTCTGTTGCTTTTAATTTTGCATTTAAATACTTTGACCGTGTTTGAATAGTCTGTGTATTTTTCTGCTTGTCTGATCAGGACTAGGAGCACACCGCTGGTACATGTATGACCTGGATGCTTACTCCTTTCTGGCACCTGATCTAAAACCTTATGTATTTTTAGAGGCCTTTGCTAAAGCTCTCCATTTTTACTGTTTCAGTGGACTTGTGAACTTGATTACAGTTCGAGATCTTCATGTTTCATTTGTTACTCTCGTGATAAAATGTTTGCAGTCCAAGATTACATGCAAAACTTCAACTCACCAAAAATAATGTCACTGCCAGGTCATTCAGATTAGTCTTTTGGCATCTTACTTCTAGCTAATGTACTATGATTTCTAACTGGAAGCGGTCTGATTTGAGGAGTGGAAATTTGAATGTTCAGGTTTTACTTTTTGGAGTGCTTATATACCTTTATTTTGCTTTACAGTGATAGCATTCTTCATACCGGTGATGAACATCTAAGCATCGACAATAATATTGAAATGCTTACAAATCTGACAAACAATTTACAGCAAACGTTTCCTACAATGGACGTTTATGCCACTTACGGAAATCACGATTACTTCCCTAATGGACAGTACCCTCCACATAACAATGAGATTTATAACAGAACACTGGAACATTGGAGAAGCTGGATCAACGATAGTACACAGGAGGAAACATTTTTGAAAGGTTAGAGTCGTCACTGTGTTTTGGTAAATGTCCAATAACTAGTTATTGTTAGTTATGTGGCTGAAAGTTGAAAACATCTTCCTCCTCCCCCTACTTGTTAGAGATCTGCGAATGCAGAGACTTGACGTCGTTTACTCTGAGTCGCATACTATCAGTAAGGAGATCAGAGGTTAGGCACTGTGTTATATAGATACTATAACCTTACATGGAATAAAATCATAGGGGAGACCACAGGTCACCTAACGTAATCCATAAATGTTAAAGGCTTATATATCATATATCGTATAAAATTGCAGTTAATGTTACTCAGCACCCTCCCTCCACCCCCTCTATCTTTTCTAATACCCATCAGATGGTTATTCCTTTTAAAAAGTTGTTTGTTTTACACTGTAAAGGCTTCACAGTATTACGATTTATTCTATTTTCATTTCACGTATGCAACGCACTACATTTTGTAGCGGAGTAAACAGGCCCTATAGTCGTGAACTGACAAAGCAGGGACCTGAAGGCTCTAGTTCAGCGTACGTTTTATCACCTGAGGTCTCCGTATCGATATGGATGAATTTACTTTTGTGCCTTTAATGCTTGAAGAGTTCCTAAAATGTGTTATTACTACGCAAATGACGAACTATTTGCGGGGGACCCGAGGTCCTAGTTGAGCGTACGTTTTATCCTTCTGCACATAAAATACATATATAAAGTATGGAAGCCCAGCCGTAACCGTTCAGAGGTTATGGCAAATGTTAAAAAAATTTAAAAGTAGGTTAAACTCCAGGTCAAAGTATACTTAACATATGTATTGCATGTTAAAAACCTTTCATTGGATACCAACAACCTTGACCTTCTGACCTTGACCTTAGATATTTCCGCACTTGTGAAAAAACTTGAACCTTGCCCATAACTTTTAAACGGTAAGGAATAGGGCTTTCATACTTCACATATGTAATTCTTGTGAAAAGACCCTTCATTGGATACCAAGAACTTTGACCCTTTGACCTTGACCTAGGAGTTTGACCTACTTTAAAAATCAAACCTTGACCATAACTTTTGAAGGGTTAAGGCTAGGGCTTTCATACTTCACATATTTATTTCTTATGACAAGGCCTTTCACTGGATATCAAGAACTTTGACCCTTTGACCTTGGAGTTTGACCTACTTTTTAAAAACTTTAACCTTGGCCATAAATTTTGAACGGTAAGGGCTAGGGCTTCCATTCTTTATATATGTATTCTATGTGGCAAGACCTTTCATTGGAAACCAATTACTTTGACCTTTTGACCTTGACCTTGTAGATTATTGTATTTATAGAAAAACTTTAACCTTTGCCATAACTTTTAAACAGTAAGGGTTAGTGATCTCATACTTCACTTATGTAATTCTTGTGAGAAGACCCTTCATTGGATACCAAGAGCTTTGACCCTTTGACCTTGGAGTTTGACCTCCTTTTAAAAAGCAAACCCTGACCATTAGTTTTAAAGGTTAGAGCTAGTGCTTTCTTACTTTACATATTTGATCCTTGTCACAAGACCTTTCATTTGATAATAAGACCTTTGACCTTGATCTTGGAGTTTGACCTGCTTTCAAAATATCTTAACCTTGATCATAACTTCTAAACGGTTAGGGCTAGGGCTTCCATACACAACATGTGTATTTTGTGGCAAGATCTTTCATTGGATACCAATGACCTTGACCTTGAAGATTTCCGTACTTATGAAAAACGGTAACCTTGGCCTACTTTCATATTTCACAATTGTATTTCCAGTGAGAATACCCTATTTTTGTTACCAATACATTAAATTTGCATGTTAAAAAAGTTTAATCTTTGCTATGTTGCCCTACGGGGACATCAGTATTTCACAAAAACATCTTGTTATTATTACACCAGATGGTATTCATGGAATTCGAACTCGAATTATAGTATTCGATATAACTGAGATTCCATTTTCACTTTACGTTTGTCGTAATATAGACACTTCATCCGCCTTGTTCACCCATCTTCTTTTCGTCCTTTTAAGGACTATTCTATTTTTTACAAACTTTTTTTCAATGCCAACTTCTTTCGGTACCACTTTTTGGTATTCAACACTACATTTCCCTGAGACAATTTCCAGTGGTATACAGTGGAGGGGGGGGGGGGGCAACCAGCCTTTCAATGAACATTTCCAATAGCCCCTCCCCCCCCCCCCCCCGTTGCTACGTGCCTGTATGAAAAGTGGCAATCTTTTTGTGTATAAATGAAAAATGTAAAAACTGTAATTCAGAAAATTCAGAGTAGAAATGTTCGAAAGCAAAACATACACATAGTATAGTGTCAGTCCGTGCAGTTGTGTTGAGCAGACTTTAAGAATTGAGCGCTCCCGGTGAATCGTAAACATTAACAAAACAGAGCTTGTGTTCTGTTTACAAAAACTGTGTACGTTTCGATCACGGGTGTGATCAATTTGCTAAACTATGTACTCAACACTTAGTGTGGAATGACGATACTTGTGAAGGGGTTTTGCTTTCTAACATTTCTACTATGAATAGAATTATTTTTTGGATTAAAGTTTTAATATTTTTTATTAATACACTACAAGATTGCCAATTTTCCAAAGTATTAAGAATAAAAGTAAAATTTTTGAGAGTGCAAGGATGTATCAATCAAACCAATCTAAAAATTTGAAGTTTCAATAACTTTAAGATGAAATAAAATTTTTAATATATTTTTGTGTGAAATGCTATTAAAATACCGGTATATAAGACGTGCTATTCTACAGAAAATATCAACTTCAAATCTGTGTCCAAGTACCTTTAAAGTTACTTATTTGTCTGTCCGTTTATTAGTCTGGAGTTCTGTCAACCGTCACAAAAACTTGAACCTTGGTCATATCTTTTGAATGAGAAGAGATGGGGCTTTCATATTACACTTGTATATTACTTGTGACAAGACCTTTCTAAACACACTATGATTTTTGGCCCCTTGACCTTGAAGTTTGACCTACTTTAAAAAAACATTATTGGCCATAACTTTTGAATGAGAAGAGATAGGGCTTTATATTAAAAATGTGTATTACCTGTCACAACACCTTTCTAAATACACAATGATTTTTGACCTCGTGACCTTGAAGTTTGATCTACTTTTAAAAAGCATTGATCTTGTTCATGAATTAGTAAACATAGGGCTTTCATATTAAACCTGTGACAAGACCTTTAATTCCTAAATATACCTTGATCCTCTGACCTTGACCTTGAAGTTTGAAATACTTTTCACAAAATGTTAATCTTTCCTTATAACTTTTATTGAGAAGAGATGTGGCTTTCATATTTGACATGTGCATTACCTGTGACAAGATATTTCCGAGCATGATATGATTTCTGACCCCTTGTCCTTCATGATTGACCTAATTTAAAAAAAATCGGTGATAAGTTCTGAATGACACATGATAGGGCGTTCATATGTGCTACAATATGCAATAAAAATTCACACCTCACCCACAAAGACACCGAAAGTGGGGGATTACAGTTCTTTATCTGACACTTAATACAAAACGGACTCTGCCAATATAATGGTATGGGAGGCGGGGTATCATTTAGTAACCTTGGTTCTTACAGTACCCTCTAGTTTAAATAGGCTTCTGTATTTCCCTTCAATTACATGTATATATCCTTAATACATCTCCATTCTTGATTTAAAAAAAAGCACTAAAGAGAGAGGAAATCGTAAAAAACCTTAAAATTTCTGTTCTATTAATTAAGAAATAAAGTCCGCTTTCGTGAATGTTGCAGAATAACCTCCGAGGTCGAGAAATGTTGTTTGAAAATAAAAGCCGAGGCGTTAGTCGGGGCTTTTGCATTTCAAACAACATTTCAATAACGAGGAGGTTAATTATTCTGCATCATTCATGACAATAAGGACGCTATTTGTATTCTGCTCTCGGTTCTAAAATACGACTGATCGTTTCTCATAAGGTCACCTTTTCGCGATTACGCTGTTCCATTTAGTACCAGAGTGTAAATTTGTTTGTTTATCTGTGCATGGAATGCAAACGATTTTCAAGAGCATTCGCCACATTTAAATTAATCTTTTATTAATAAAAAATCTGTTTATAACATATATTGATTAGTTCTTATGAATGTACAATAACAAAATCAATTTTCTATTTTACCGCTTTATCACTAAACTCGCCGAGTTTAAAAATGGCGTAGGGAGGTCCGTGGAACAGCTCCGCTTCGCTAAAAAAACAAAACAAAACCGACATTGATCAGCTTCTTTATGAAATTTACACGTGTTTAGACTGCGAAAGACAACACATCGATGTGGTCTTCTAATAAGTATTTCAATCTAAGTCAAATATATTTTTCAACTGCACAGGTTTGATAGGTCTTTCCAATCTGATAATTTTTTGTTGATGTTCATGATTTATAGGAGAATAATGTCCGCGGCATTTCTTTGATCAATAACCATAGTAGAATTTTCTACAATATCAATTGAATCGATGCGATTTTATTTTTCGTTGATTGCTGCACCTCGAGAAAGATCTGTTTAACGCTGAGTCGCCAATATTTCAGCCATATTTTGGCGGCTCCTATATATGCTAGAGAAAGTAGTTTGCAGCGAGATGGATCCAACTCATAAAGGATTTTGGGACCAGAGATTCCTTTGGAAAAAATCATTTAGATCAATATACATAGTCCAAATTTTCTCTTCGCTTAAGTGTTGCTTTAACGTCCTCAATGGGGGAAGCTTGTCCATGGGGTTGGGGATTGAGGTGATTTCATGATTGCGAAGTAGTGTGTCATGTAGCGTTTATGTTTGACGTAATGTTATGAAGATTTGAATGTTCATATTATACTAGTAACTGATTTCAATTTATTAAACTGAAGTTATTCTTTATTCTACCACGATTATTGCCGAGATCAAAGAAATGCCGCGGACATTATTCTCCAATATATCATGAACATCATCAAAAAATATCAGATCAGAAACACGTATCAAACCTGAACAATTCAAATGCATGTTTGGCTG